GCAGCAGAGTCTTCATGCCTGAAATTTCTGGAGCTATCTTGGTTCCGTGAGTCGCGGGCGTAATGGGCACCCTCTTTTTCCTCATACTGGATGTATGATTGGGCCTTGTGAAAGAGTGTGTCCAGCATGTTAGGCCTTTCGATCCCGACAACCTTGGCAAACTCAGTGCGATGTCACAGTCCTTGTTCAATTAGATACTTCTTTATGTCTTCCGAGGTAGATACTTGCACAACTTCTCGGTTGAATCTCTCTATATAGTCCAGTAGAGATTCCTCCTTCCTCTGGATGATGGCTTCCAAGGATGGACTAGGACTCGAGGATTTTATACAATGCCATCGCCCTTTACATCGAGGTCGTGAGAAAGAGCCTACACTTGATGGCTCCCCGAACATTCGTGTAGTCGAGCATCGCGTCGATGCTTTCAATATAGTCGTCCGAATCAGTGGTACCATCATAGGTAGCCAAGATCGAGGGCTTATCCATTCCGACGGGGAGAGGAGAGTCTTTGATAGTCCTGGAAAGTATAGTGCGGGGGTTGTCCTCGTCGCTTCTGACAGGCGATTGCGAGAGGGATGGGTCGTGCTAAGGGCTCATGTGGCATAAAAGGCTCCTCGGGCGGCTCTTTGGCTTTCCAACCTTCCCATCAGCTTGGTTTCTCTTGAGAGCTAGGGAACATTTCTCCTTCTAGGGAGGAGAACAGTCACGCTTTTGGGTGGCCGCGGGTTGTGGTCGTTCCAGTCGTGGACGGCGCCTGACTTGTCGCAGAGAGGGACTTCGAGACACATCATGTTGCGGCCTCCGCGGGGGAGGTGAAGGACAGGTTTCTCATCATCGCGGGGATGGGCTGCGAGAAATCGGGCGACGATGTCTCTGCTAGGGAGAGCATGCTTGTCAGTCTTTTTCCAACATTCCAATCCGCTCATTTTGTTGGAAAATCATCAGGTTTGTCTGATTAATTTCTGCGAACAGAGCCACCATGGTCGGGTCGGCGTTGGGTGGCACAAGAATTGGTTAGAATACAATTGGGCTGTCAGAACATCGGGTGTCGTTGAAGGTCACGTCGTCGGGGGATGGTGAGGCGGTGTGCTCGTCCTTGGCGTCGCCTTCCTCAATATGAACTGTCACATTGGGATCATGATCGTCGTTGCTGATGAATGGGGTAAAGGCGGTTTCATGGATGTTGTCGTCATTGCATGGGATAGCCATGATCAACGGAGGTTGAGATATGCTTTGGTTCTTGGATTTCTTTTAGAAGGAAGAACGGGGAAGCAAGATCCCTACATTCGGCTCCACTAATCTTATTGGACCAGAAAAGGATCAGCAGCCAACAACACGTCGTGAGCTCCTTAATTCGTAGGTGGTGGAGAAGAGGAGGGGGTGTACCTGCAAAGTACTCTGATGCTAAAGTAAGAGACAGAGTAGAAAGAGCAAATACAGAGAAAGGTGTGTATAAAATTGGATACCTGACCCTCTAGTGAAAGAGGGTATCTATAATGTGCCTTCAGCGTTGGGCCAACAATTACTTTGCACTGGGTTGGATTGCAAGGTCCAATACGAGTAATTGTCAGGGCTTACGTGGCGTAGAGAAGACCAGCACGTGGTCTTCGCCCTAGGTCGACTGCCATGTGATCCTCGAAAGGTGGATAGTTGTCTGATGATGTGTTCCCGCACGAGGGACACGTGAGAGCTCCCTGTGTGCGTGATGAATTGTGCCTTCGTTGGGCCTCCCTGACGAGGAGTTGAGTTGGGTCGTGCCCAACGGTGGGCCAACCTATAGCCCAGTCTAAAACAATATGTATTTAAATACACATGTAAATTTGAAATGATCTGCTTAATTGTAAAATTAACATTAATCGTATAATTTAATTGTATTATATAATCATAAAAAATAAGAGTGTTGTGAGATGGAGAAAGAAAAAAGAAAGAAAAAAAAATTTGACATTTAAAAATAAAGTTTTTATCTCTCAATTGTTCATTAAAAATAAAGTATGTATTGTGTTAATAATGATTTGTTAGTAATATAAATAATTGGATCAAATAATTTGTTAATTTTATAATCATAAATTTTTTTTTCATAACTATGAATAATTTTTTACTATCTATAAAATAATTATGTTTTTTTGTTTAGACAAAATTTTGTATTTTAAAATTTGAATTTTTATTTGTTTTTTGTATTTCTCATCCTTTTATTTAAGAGAGGTTCAATTTTTATTTATATATTTATACTTAAAAAAAAAAGAAAAAAAGAGAAAATGAAAAGAGAGACAAATCTAACATGAAAATGAAAAAATAGAAAAATTTGAAGGGTAATCACAAGTTAAGAAATCTGCTATAATAGATTTGTATTGGAAAAAATAATTTAAATTTTATTTTAAATATTTTTATTAAAGATAATATACAATTTTTAATATAATATTTTTTAATTTAGTTTTTAATTTGTGCCTTTAACATTACTTAAGTTTAAAATTTGAATAATTAAAAAAAAATTGAGTAAATATGATGAAGCAACGAATTGCGTTGTGATTGATTTAGAATAAGAATAATTAATCAATTATGCAATTATGGAATTGTCTCTAGCTAAAACAAAAAGATAATTTATGATATTTGTTACTATGTTATATTAAGTGATATATAGATGATTGATAAGGATTTGCGAACAAAAACTAAACTGGTATTTTCCAAAATAAAGTCACAATTTTTATTTTTAATATTGTGAGTAAAAGTAAATTTTTCTCATTAGCTTTTTGCTATTACTTGGGTGAAAATTGGTTGAGCTGAGTTAGATTTTGTCGAGTCTAAATATGGTCTTTCAAAAAAATTGAAGTTTAAGTTTGACCTGTAATCTTTCAAAGATTAATTTTTAGGCCTAAGTCTGGCATTTTTTAAAGTTTGATAGCCTATTAGCCTATATAAAAACCTATTATTTTAGACACATGTAAATAAATAATTAAAATAATATTTAAATAAACTAATAAACTAAAAAATCAATGAAACTAAAAATTTGTTTGCATAGATTTATTTTAACTCACTTATTAACATAAATTCTATGAGACTATTTGTTTAAAATAACTTATAAAATTGTTCATAAGTTGTTTTTATTTTATTTTCATAAAGTCTCCAAGATAACTAATTTTTGTTTATATATTTTCATTTAAAGTACAAAACATAACATAATGATAGTAAAAAAATTATTCATATTTGATCTTATCTAATCAGAAAGGAATCAGTAGTCTGTCACACGTAAGGGGCGTAAGAGCAAGTATAGAGAGAAGGTGTAATGAATAGAATACCTGACCCTCTAGTGAAAGAGGATATTTATAATGTGTCCTCAGCGCAGGGCCAACAATTACATTGCAGTGGGCCGGATTGCCAAGCCCAACACAAATAACTGGCAGGGCTTACGTGGCGTAGTGAAGACCGACACGTAGTCTTCGCCCTGGATCAACTGTCCTGTGATCTTCGGAAGGTGGACTGACTATCTCTGGAAGTGGGTAGTTGCATGATGATGTGTCCCTGCGTGAGGGGCACGTGGAGAACGTGGAGAAAGCGCGTGAGTTTCCCCGCCAAGAGAGTCTTCTGCCCGACTGGTGAACCTTGTTGAGGCTTGTGCTCGACAGATGAAATTGGGCCGTGTTGGGTCTCCTCAACATAGCACTGGGTTGGGTGTTCCTGGCTGGAGGGCAGGTCCTGACCCAGTCCAGAATAATATTTATTTAAATATGTCGGTCTGTCAGGCTTAAACGACTTTTTCATGGCATGAGACCTAGCATTTTTAACTAAATAGACTTATGAAAAAGTCTAAGTCTTTTCTATTTAAAAAAATTGGTCTGACATGAGATTGTGTAGACTAAACCATAAGCCCGTGTTATCAGTTTGACCTATTTCCACCCCTATTTACAACTAGCAAAATCTCTAGCGTCCGCACGGGTAAATATATTTTATACGATATAAAATTTATTTAAAAACACATGTAAATTTTAAACAAGTTAACTAATTGTAAAATAAACAATAATTATATAAATTTATTTGTATTAAATAGATATTGTACTTTTTAAAAACTAAATACACGCTATTGAATATGTTACTTAATTCTAAAATAAACAATGATAATACAAATTTAATTGTATTAAATATTTATATAAAAATGAAACCCGTGATATGGAGAAAGAAAAAAAGTTCACATTTAAAAAAAAATTTATCTCTCAAATAATTTTTTTTTTGTGATTAAAATAAAATAGATATTATTTTGATAGTGGTGCGTTAAATGAAAAATTAGTTGTGTGTACTTGAATGATATTTAATAAATTTCAAATAAATTATTTAATTATAAAACGAAATGTTCATATAAATTATGAGTATTTATTATATGTTATAATTATAAAATAATTATGTTTTTATTTTTAAAAGATTGTGTTTTAAAAATGCAATATTTTTCTGTGTTTTTTTTTATTTAATTAAAAAGAGCTTCAAAATTTGTTATTTATTCTTAAGAAAATATAATAGAAAATAAAAAATAGAGACAAAAGTGAAAAAATTTAAAATTTGAACTAAGAGAGTAAAAGAAAAAGTGAAAAAATAAAAAATAAAAAATAAAAAAATAAATGACAATGTGATATGATTTAATAAGAGATTAGAATGGTAAAATGTGAACATTAATTGATTATTCAAATGTTCTTTTATTATGGTAATTTTTTTTTAATAAAAAGGTAATTTAGAAAAGTTTATGTAATTAATTTTTAATGGGTTAATGGTTGATATTTGAACTTATTTAGTAAAAATGTTTTTTCTAATAGAAATGTGAATGTGTGAAGAGTAGTCTAGAAATTCCCAAGTCACGTGTACATGATGAAATGAATGGACACTTCTAGAACACTCCCAAGTCACGTGCACATGGTGAAATGTTTGGACACTCGGCTTATCCAATCGTTGGTTCCAGAAAACGTCCAATAATTCTATAAATTTGAATATTCTTCGGTTGCATCTTTGCAGAAAGATAAAAAATGACATCAACCCTAGCAAATATGAGTTTCTCTGCTCCCACTTCATCTTGCAGAATGAACAAAATTTCCAATCTCAAATTAACAACTTTGTCCGGAACAAGGAATACAACTTTCTACAACAACGTAAAAGCTATGGCAACAGGAGATGATTCAAGCTTGCAGAGGGCAAAGCTGCCACCAAAGATGAAGTTGTCACAAGCTTCACCTAGTGGTAAAAGAGTATATATATTCAAGTCCTTTATGATTTTACCAAATATGTACTCCATTGACACTAACAGTGACAAATGACTTTTTTCTGACAGTGTTGTTGAACCAGTTTCCAGTAGCTAGGGCACTGCAACAAAGGATGGAAACAATGGATGGGATTGTGGAAGATCCATTGGTGGGCAATGACGGTTCCCGTAGGATAGTTCTGGACAATGAATGTTCCCGTAGCATAGTTCTGGAAAATAACGAACATGCTAGGAGAAAAAATCCTTGGCTAATAAAAGAAGGCCAATATGATTACAAGGTTAGATTTAACATGCCTGGTATGAACAAGAATGATGTTAAGGTATGGATTGAAGAGAAAGTGTTGGTTGTGAAAGCAGAAAAAATAGCTACAGAGCAACATGAAGGTCAACCAAATGGCAGTGGAGAATTTAGTGAAGAACATGAAGATTGGCCTGCCAATATCTATGGTAGGTATAATCATAGGATTTCTCTTCCGGATAATGTTGAGTTTGAGAAAATTGAGGCACAGGTTAAGAATGGTGTTCTTTACATAAGAATTCCTAAAGCTAAATCTAATGCAAAAGTAATTGGCATAGATGTTCAGTAACCTCTGAAGTGGCACTTCAGATTAGAAAAGTCTGTCTATTTTTTCAACTTAATATTGCTTCTGGTGTATCTGTGTTATGTTTGGTGTCTCTATACGTGCTTTATAGAGAATGACTATAAGCTCATAGTAAAGTTGAGTTAGTTCATAGCTACATTCATTTTTGTTATCTAATCTCTAACATGAGAGACAAAATGAGATTGTGTTCCCCTAATCTCGAAACAACAACTAAATTTACAAAGGATTCGGCTTACAATTAGCAATACAGATAGACGTGGGATTTGAATCCACTGGGTGTCTTCACTCTATGAAAATCAGGTTGAGAGCTTCAGAAGGGAAAAGATCTACTGATTAAGATGGCTTCTTTTTTCGGCCAGCTTGTGAGATACGTTTTAGCATTTGAGTTTCTCTTTTCAATCCTCTGAAATACAAAAGTTCAAACCTTGTTGGAACCATTGCAATGGTTATTACTAAAGTATGATTATTACAAACAAGTTTTGAAACTAAATACCTCTGATATAAATAAATGTATAGATAGTAAAATAACAGCAGCATCACAAGAAAAATGGAGGCAGCAATGTAGAACCCGTTTCTCCTTTTCTGCACAAATCAAGAAACCAGTTAATGAAATCATTTCATCGCTACAGTTCAGTAAGCAGTAGCAGACAAGTACAGATGACTTCACATGAATTGTATCCCACCAGTAAACCTCCACCATAAAGTTGCACACACCACTTCACTATATTGCGCAGTTTGATCAAATTTCGATGCGCTGCAGTGCAAAACCACTGCATATATAGCTGCTATTTGACAACATTTTATACTAAATTGCTCATAGCATGACAATATTGCTCATAGCATGACAATAGTGGTTTTGTCTAAATTCGGCCAAGTTATAGTGCCGCTATTTAACAACACTATTTGACATCATTTTGTATTAACATATTGTGGAACAATAGCTACACCTATGGCACCACTATAACTATTTAACAACAATGAAAAGAAAAATGATGAAAAAAACAATTTAGTTTCAGATAACAGTCAAACTACCCTAAAAATGATGAAAAAAACAATTTAGTTTCAGATAACAGTCAAACTACCCTGCGCCCTCTGGAGAAAGGCTTCCGACTTCCAGCACAGCTGTGTGCATCACAGAATTGATGCAAGAAGAATTCTGTCAAATTGTTGGTGTTACAAAGCAGTATCACAAACTTTCATAAGGATACAAATTTTGCAGAAGAATGAATAGAAAATTGCAATACCATGAAGCCGGCTTGCCGCAGGGCCTGTGTTAACCGGAAAACAACTATCTGCTAAGGTCTATTAAAAAAAAAAAAAAGAAGGGAAATTAAGACATAAATTTGGGTTTAAGACATATGAACAGACAAAAAAAAAACAATAGCACACCTCACATAGATGTTTATTTCTTGCTGCTGCAGCAGGATTGCACTTTGATTTTTTTGACCTGGAATTGATGTCATGGTCACAGTGCAATGCTCCACATACATCTGCTAAGCACTGGCTTTCATTCTGGGTTCAAAATAATAATCTCATTTAAGTTGTTAATGCTGCAACGCAAAAAAACCAGTAGAGAAAACTACCAAAACTCTCAAAAAGTTTAACAGCTTCACACCTTCCTAAACTATAACAAATGCTTTAAAGCACCATTTACTTGTTCATCAATGGAAGAAAGCATAAAAATTGCATTGATTCTATTAAACAAGAAGCTTCATACCAAATTAAGTAAATTGGAGTGTCTGTTGTCAAAATGCTGATCAAGATGTTTCTCTTCGTAGAAAAGTTTCTTACAGTACCCACACTGCCACTCATTTATATCTATATGAGATTTATGCTGTTCTTGATCTCTGTATATATCATTGTCAGGGTGAAGCCTGCACCTTCTTGAGATATTATACTTTTCTTTCTCCACAACTGGCGTCAAATACTGTGCAACAAGAATCACGTATCAAGAGAATGTACATCTATCAATCAGGCAATATCGGCGAAGCAAATAGGTCATAGAATAGCATTAATCGAGTAACTCGTTTGAGAGCCCTACCTCTTGAATGATCTTCCAAGCTATTCTACTTCTTTCTCTAGAGCAATGTATTCGATGAACATCACCATGCTCCTGATTCAGAATTCTGAACAGTGACATTATCTATTAGTCATACCAATTCCAGTACAAGAAGGCACAAACATATAGACTAAGAACAGGTAAAAGATACAGCATCGAACACTTCAGATCTAAGGCATGCCATGTATCCGACACGATACTGACACGTGTAGCTATAGTCAATCTCTTTCATTGTAAGTTATGAAGAACGGATATAGACACGGACATAGGATACAACACTCACATATTGATACTGTCAATAATTTGAAAAAAATAAATAACTTAAATGTAATTACATTAATCTGTGTACACGGACACAGATACATGTCTCACACCGGACAAAAAAATAAATAACTTAAATGTAATTACATTAATCTGTGTACACGGACACAGATACATGTCTCACACCGGACACATCCCTGTTTAGACCCATCTCTGTTTAGAGGTGTCAGTGCATTGTAAATGTAATTATCCTATTGTTTGTAAATGTAATTATCCTATTGTTTTTCCATTATGCTAATAGGATCACCAAGACATTAACTGATGAACTCTGAAATACAAGCTAATAAGTTCAATCAGATATTAAAACTGACTTACCTTGCAGTATCTGAATCTACATAACCCTGTAACAAAAAACAAAACTAAAATTTATTTCACACTAAAGAAAATTACACAATAAGCTATTATACAACTCCAATTCCAGTTCCAAATTCATACAATTCAAACCACACATGATTAAATTCAACAAATTCTCATTAAAAAAAATACATAAAAGAGGATATATTTATTTGAACTGAATGATTACAGTATCAGTGTGTGGGAGGGATGAGGATAAAGAAACCCTTGTAAGAAGCAAGAAGATGAAGAAACGATGAAACCGAACGAGAATCTTATTCATTCCTCTTGTGGATTTTCTTGTTCGCTTTCAGAGAATCAGGGAAGAAAGAAATTGAAGATGCTTGCTTGAAGAGACTCGGGTCGGTACCAGAAACCACGATAGAGTAGCCAATTAGAATTTGCCACGTGTTAAATCTTTGTATTTAGCACACTTTTCTTTCTTTCTTTCTTTTATGGTTTAACAATGGAATCTTATTGTGGATAAAATCTAGGGGTTTCTTTTCTATTAGGAGTAATTTTGAAGAATTTGATTTTCATGATTTGTAACTATTTAAAATCATCATTATATAAAATGAAATGCTAATATATATAAATAAAATGTTATTTTTAAATTTTTTCCTGTCTCAAAATAATTTTTTTTAAAGAAGATTAACGACTAGAAAATCATTAATTAAATTGTATGATTATGTGGGCATCGTAAGGTAGACATTTTAAGTCAACATTTAATAATTCTAAACTCGAATTGAAGAGTACACGTGCCTCTTGAAAATATAGACCAATTGTTTGACATGAAGAGTGTTTCTATCAAATTTAATTTTACAATTTAAAATCTGATATTATTTTTTGTATGTCAAGTTTTCAAAAGAGTTATTATGATGAGAGATATGATCATGTTCTGAATTTGAAAGCTCTAACTTCTGCCAACAAATTTGAATAAGTTGTTATAACTACTAATTTTATCAATGTTAATGTCAAATAACTGCTACATCTAATGTCAGAAATCTAAAATGTACTTAAATCTAAGAATTAAGTGGTTTGTAGTTTCTGCATCATGTTTGCATAGGGAGCAACTTGAAATATGCCCCCTTTGAATTAGGTTCTTTTATGTTGCAATAATATTATACATTAGCTTTTGTAATATCGACTAGTCACATGCTAAGAATAATAACTAGTGCTATTAATGATTGGAACTAAATACATCAACGTAAACCTCTAGAAGTGGACCAGATTAAAATTTTACAACAATACTATCAAAATAATTAATACATCGACGATCTAACAAAATCTTCAACACAACGGAAAAGTGTTCCATCGCGTCCTCAATGCCATGTCCATCGTTGCAAGTCTTATATAAATACTTGGTTACCTAGAAAATAGTGAAACAACGTGAGATGAGATACTAATCTCAATGGATTTTCGGTCTAAACCACTGAATCACTCCTTACCCTTCTACCTAATTGAGGAATACTTGAATATTCTATTAGGGTATATCACATCCATCCCACACTAATGAACACAGACTGACCACCTCACAATCATCTTACTAATAACAAGGTGTTTTCAAACCAATAAGAACTCATAAGGATGTCTAAGATACTCAACAACCTCGAACAAAATCCAAAATGTAATAAATCCCATATAGTATAAGGGAGATAAATACATTATCCCTTATAACCATGCATATCTCAGGCTATGTCTAGTATTACAAAATCGTTAACATCCTACTAGTCCTCTTCATATCGAGTCTACTATTAATTACATGGTTATTAACGTTCTATTAGTCCCTTACAAATTAAGTTGTATCACAAGTTCATCAACATTCTATTAGTACTTCATAAGTTTTACGCTCTGATTACGAGTTATACATTCTACAGTTATAATAAGTCGCATGATCTCATACAATATATTAGCAATGATGTGCTACCCATACACCCATGTACACCTCATGTTGTGTCCATTATTACAGGATCTTCAAAATCCTACTAGTTTTCCTCATACCGAGTCTAGTATTACAAGATCATTAATGCCTTACAAATCCCTCGCATATTGAGACTATTATTACAAAATCATTAACATCCTACTAGTACTTGATACGTTTCACGCCCTGATTAGAAATGATTCAATATTGGGGTCCGGTAAGTCGTAACACTCCCTATGTGTATTCAGTTAATTATATTGTCTCTCACTAGGACATAATCTTATATTTATAATGATTATACGCTCACAATCCTTCATTAGGATATAATCTTATTCGTAGAATGACTATGCGTACCTAGGTTTATACATATTAAATTGTTCAACCAAATAGGGTTTTCATCACATCTTTCATGAACTCATCCTTCCATTATCTGACCACCTCAAAGGAAAACATAACTTAAGAGACATCATACCTCATCTAACGCATCAGGTTCCATTAATCAATACCTAGTCTAATTCCTAATATCAATCTTTGCTTGATCAAACCTCCTTCTTAATCCCATCACCTCTCCTTCTTGACAAAATACTGAACATATTTGAACAATCACCCTTGAGTTTTAACCCTATAGATTTTTCAATCACACTAACATCATCAACAGCCACATGACATTTACCACGAACCACCATCCAATTTTCAATCCTCATTAGAGCTTGAAGCCTTAGTATCCACCGACAAAGAAACCCCCTCTTTTTTCTTAGAAGAAGACCTCAACGAAATGCTAGAAAACTTTTTCTTTTTTCTACCTTTAAGGGATCTGATTGGTGCATCTTTATGCACATTCTCCTATATTTTTACTTAGGCATTTATTTACTTTATTTTGATTATTCTTATGTTTTATTATGTTTTTATATTTTATTTTATTTTTGGTTTAATTTAATTTTCGCACTTATTTTTCAGCTTTAGCAGTCTGCACAGAAACGATCATAACTGGAGTTCCGGGAATCCGTTTGAGGCGTTCTAAAAATCGCCGGAAAGTTAAGAGAGAGAGCTACGACTTTCGCGTTGGAGTCGAAGTTAGATTCGGAGCTCAAAATTCCAGAATTTCGTTTCAAGTTACAGCATTAGAATTTTATTTTAGTTTTAGGCCTGAGTTATATTTTCGACCCAGTTGGGTTATGATCCGAATTCTCTTTTGTCCCCTCTTTAGTCTAGGTCTGATCGTACAGCCTAGTATCCTATTCACTATTCACGAAAATATTTGTTGGAGCTTTGTATGAATTATGGAGAACTAATTCCTTCGGATTAATCTGCTGTAATCGGTTCCCGCCAACACTTTGAGGTTCTTTTAATTTACAATAAAATCTATTTCCTTTCAATTCTTCTCTATGATATTTTGCTTGCTTAATTCGATTTATCTTAGGGATGATTGATTTATTTCGATGATTGCATGTTCTTATACTTTAATCGCGGTTGCTTAATCCGCGTATGTTTCTCGTGTTTGCTTAATTCACGGTTACTATTTTATCTGTTTGCTTAATTCAGAAATTAGGAACGTGTATCGTATAATATCAATTGCGCTTGTTGATTGTTATTATAATCGGAAAGGGGATAGAATCCGCTTAGGAATTGAGAATTATTAGGATCGATGATAAGTTGGGAAACGAATTATTAGTCGTTTCAACTCATTACTACAATCACTTTTTCTAATCACTTATTTTTTGTTTATTTTATCTTAATCAAAACCCCCCATATTTCGTTACTGTATTTGATTATTCCTACAAGAATCCTTGTGAGACGATATTCCGAGTCACTGTCGCTGTACTGCATTTTCCTAAAATTACTCGTTCTTGATCCGCGAGCGACCGCGGACCAAATTGGCGCCGTTGCCGGGGATTTTTGTCGTTATTAATCAATTTTAGAGTCATAGGGTTAGTTAGTATCCTCGAGTCTAGACCTTAGTTTCCTCGTGGTTTCGTCCAATTCGCGTTTTACAGTCCAAATCGTAAAAAAATCTGTTTTTTGAAAAATTGTGTCCGATCGTAAAATTGTTTTGCCTACGAGAAGCAGAAAAATTGTTGGTCATTCTTCCATGTATTCCAAAGGAATACCTGGGATCCACCCTCAGAATCGCCAAAAAATCCTTTTTTCTATTTTTAATGAATTTTTTACTGTTTTCATAGAGTCGAAAAAAATCGAAAAAATTCTCATAATTGTTATTTTGCTTAATTAGTTTAATTCTGGTATTATTTTATTTTTTTGAAATTTAATTAATTATTTTCCATCATTGTGTTTGAGTCTGAGTCTAAGTCTGACTATCTGCATAACTTGTTTGCTTCGGATACTGAACTTGATTTTGAAATGGCTGATAATAGACCTTAAGACAATTAGTTGCCCCTGATGTAAATTATAATAGCTTGTGTATTAAATATGATGATGTTGCTGTTCCTTTCGAATCGGAATCTGGTTTAATACACTTGTTGTCAAGGTTTAATGGACTTGCAGGTGAGGATCCGAATAAGCATATGAATGAATTCCAAATTATGTGCTCTACACCTTCTGAACCTTCACTAGAGGACCTTGTCAAGCAAATGACTATAAATGATCTTCAGTTTAAGCAACAAACAGATTCAAGTCTTCAAGCTTTGCAGACACCGATTGAACAACTTGCCACTATAGTGAATGCCATGCAGCAAGCTCAAGATTCAAACCAACCATCTGCCCAAACAGTAGTGAATCCAAAAGAGTTTCCTTATAATTTAGTTGATGATACTTATTCTGAATTGTATTTTGATTTTCCATCATTAACAGATTTTGATGATACTTACTCTTGTGATTCATGTACCGACACTAACATTTGCTCTGTTTGTGCTGAGATTAATGCTGCCGTACAAGGTGATGTTTTTCATGCAGATGAAGTAGTTTATGAATCTAAAACTCTTAACATCACGGTTTCCCCAACCTCACCATCCATTGAACAACCTCCCCCCTTGGAGTTTAAACCACTTCATACCAATCTGAATTATGCTTACTCAGATATGGATAAAAAGCTTCCAGTTATAATTTCTTCTAACCTTGATTTTGATGAAGATAATAAACTTTTACAGGTTTTGAAGAAACATAAGAAGGGAATTGGATGGACCTCGATGGAAGTGGGAAGAAAAGCAGTGAAGCAACCCCTTAACCCATTGATCTCTGATGTTGTGGAAAAGGATATCAAATTCACGTGCCCATTAGACACTTTTATTTATCGAAGATTCTTATTTGATCCTGGAATAAAAGGTGAAGGCACTAATACAAATTTCAAGGGCGATGGATGCTATCCAAAGTTACTCCCCACTTTGGAAGAGGAGATTGCAGGAAAT